ATGACGTGGCTGCGTGATAGTCCACTAGGCTCAAGTGTAGGCTTGTGAAATCCTTAAAGACCTCGTAAATGACAATACCATAGCTTCTGGAAATATTGAAAGGAGGTGTTATTTGCATTCTGCTCACTCTCAGAATTGGAGGGTTAAGGATGACTTCTTTTGTTTTCAGGAAAACTTAAGATCTTGGCTTCTGGATCCAGATTGCAATGATCAATATTCTGTGATTCATGGGGGAGGAGATAAAGTTGCCATCATGTGGAACACTCCTCAGGAACCCATTCTATCAAAGGAAAGAATGGTAAGCTATCACGTTTTTTTAATATTATTTCGACTCGCACTACTTGCAAATGCAATAAAGTTACTTACAATACTTACAGGACTTCTTTTACAATATGATTACTTACACCACTTGCAATACTAATACTTGCACTACTTACAAAACATACAATAATTTATGTATCTGAGCGATTTTGCAAAAACATGCCCATTAGGTTTTCGGGCCCAAACCCAGGCCTAGCCAGCTGCTCTAAACCTACATGTAGTGGGGGGTGGGGGGCTCCATCAAGGCCAGGCTGGAGACATGGCCCAGGCACTGGCCAATCTGCTATTGGTTTGCTGGCAGCCAGCTGTCAAAAGCAGGGGGGAAGGGAGGATGTCTTTAACTGGCACCTTCACTTAGCTAGACTTTGAGTTTTCAGTGCCAAATAACCCTGATATTGACTGTGTTGCTGGGCACTTTGCTTACTTGTTGAGCCTTGTTTGAGGGTTCTGTGTTGACATGGCAGCCTGCTGGATAGGGCCATACCATATGCATGCGTGATGTCATATCTTGTGGCTGGAGGGGTGTGGGGGGAGGGGTGGTTGGAGCACTTGTGGTTGCTGGGATTCTCTTTGAGCTGTCTGTGGTCATGTGCAAGTGCACTATAAATGACAGTATGATAGTTAACAATAATTTAAGCTGTCAGTATAATTATTTTTTAAGTTCCAGCATTTCAAAATGTTTTTTTTAAATTAACAATTATAAAAATGCATGAAATTGGTTGCATGTGATGAAATTCTCCTATGCCAGTTCTGCTGCTGAAATAAAGTGTTGAGAACTGGGAGAGATACTAACTGATAACTGGCTACCATGAGTGATCT